GCTCCATTTTTATTGTTTTAAAAAAGTATTCGCTGAAGAAATCATTACATTTACCAATATATAAACTGCCGATAATTTTACAACAACTGTAGTTTTGACTCACCCATTGCTTTTCTTTTTCCAATATGAGCGAGCGAACGATTTCTCACAATAATTTCGATTTTCTTTGGTTTGCTATTTTTTGACAGTCTTCAGCTGTTCTTGTATGTGCAGCCGAGTACAAAGTATGAATGAATCTCCAAGCGTCGGTGTATTTATTTGCCCTACTTTTTTGCTACCTGGAATCTTCCAGTTTGTTCGAAAGGAGTGAAAGTTCTTCCTTGCCTCCGAAATGCGCTGTCAGAATAAGGATGATGTGTTTTTATGTGCTAACCGCAAGTCAGTTTCGACGGAAATTTTCATGTTGTTTCAGAAAAATGTTTTTGAAAGCATTCAGTCCAAAACATAAAATCTTTTCGTAAAACATGTGTGGCTACCTGATTTTTTTCATTACAGAAATATATTATTCACTCAAGCTTCATTCACAGTATGTTCATGTAATTTGTTACATTTTTGTTTTTTAAATAGAGTTTGGTGGTATAGTGGTTAGTGGTGTATAGTACCTGGTGTTATTACTATGGTGAAAGGCATTGTGTCTATATAAAGAAATCTGTTTGTGCAAATATCTTTATTTTATTTTAAAACCCTTAACTTGTAATCATGTGAAAATGCCGTGGCAAGTCAAGTAAAATTGACCATTAGCTCTAAATAGTCTTTTAAAAGACGGTTCGTTTTGTTGTAATCATACATTATTTTAAGATGTAGCTACTAATCTGTTTTTCAGTGGATTCGATAATTATGTTAAAATCTTGGAGTACATATGTTTGGTGTACAACATTATATCATACATTATCATACATGATATGCGCTAGGCAAGTTAATTGAGGTTATCTTTAGTCACGTTTTAGTTAGTATTGTGACGTTAACTAAACAATGAAAATGGTTGCTTATGTGCATGTAATTATTTATCATAACAGTTCGGTTTCGCATTGTGGTTTTATTATTGTGGTCAGTTTCGAATTATGTTTTGCTTAGTAACGTGACTGTGAACTAAAAACTAGAATTTTTCATCCACAATATCGAAAATGTGATTGTTAAATGAAAGCGATTTAGCTTGATGTTTTGCCAATAAGTTTGAAGAATTCTCCATGCAAACAATCGAGGCTTAAAACATTTTACTTAAATCTTTAACTAGCTTTGGAGTAATTCCTCAGTCAATGATACCTGAAACTAAATTAATTTTTAGTTGCAATTTGGGGTAATGTGACGGGGGTGGATTTAAAGTGATGGGCGAAGCGGCGGCGCGCGCTTCCCCTCTGCCGGAAAAGTACCTAACAAATAGAATAATATAATACAAAATGATTAGTACGAAGTGGTTTTTTTCTGGAACATAGAAATATATGATGTAGAATAAAATTGTTATTAAAGAATGTGTTAGTTTGCTTTCAGATTGAGGAAGTAATTTTCTATTGCTAACATCTCTATGTTCTCAAAGTACTACAGTCAATCGAGGTCGTTCGGTGCATAAATGTTTAGATTTGAAGTTTTAATGTCAATTTAATTTCATCGATGTTGTAGGTAAAATACATCTTAAAAATTTAATGTCAAGCACGTAGAGATTTTCACCCAATTACGCAATGTGTTAACATAAAATGTGTTAAATTAATCTCTTGTGAAAAATTCATCGAATGTACAAACATCAAGTGTGTTAAACATAAAGTCACTTATTACAGGTGGAATTGATAAGTGTTAACTTATTGGATTGTTCTTCTACTTTTCCTCATTTCTTATTAGTTATATTTCTAAATAAATTGTTTGATAAATTTTTTGCTGTTTCTTTCGACTTTGTTACGGAAATGTAACACTTGACTTTTATATTACGTATATAATGCGCATTCTAAATAGTTGCCTTGATTTTTTGTCAAATGCCATGCGCATAATGTATACTACCCACGTATATTTGATGTTTTCAAGGACATCTAAATAAGACAAAAAGTCTTGCATTAAAGAAATATATATCCATCAAAACACAAGAATTAAAATTGATGTCATTTGACAAAGTCGTCGCTATCAACGAAATTAGTTGATGCTGTAATTCTCAATATAAATATTAGAGCCCAACAAATAATTTTAAACATAGTCATAAACAATTTGGTTTTATGAAATTTATTAAAAGAGTGACGTTTCGTTTTTACTCAAGACATCTTCAGACTAATTAGGTGTCTTGAGTAAAATGTGTCTTGACCAATTAGGTGTCTTCAGACTAACTAGATGTCTTGGGTAAAGACGAAACGTCACTCTTTTAATAAATTTCATAAAACCAAATTGTTTATGTCTATGTTTAAAATTATTTGTTGGCTCTAATATTTATATTGAGAATCCATTCCCACCTGGCACTTCGTTGGCAACAATATTGATGCTGTAATATTTATTTAAGTAGTACATGAAACGAGTTTTTGGAGAGTGCGTACGTAATTAATATTCTCCACGGAGGCAATAATGCAATTAAAAATAGTTAGGAAAAACACGGCAATTTTATGACCTGTGACATAAGTGGTACGTTGCAAGCTGACGATTTCAAGCTTGTCAATTGTTTATACATCATCGGCTGCCTAGAAATCACTTAACGCTTCTTTTAGAATCGATTTATCCAAATATATTCCTTGATTCACAGCTGTAGGCAATGTTTGTCATCACGTGTGCGATGGTCATTGATATCGCGTGTCTTCGACGTATGTATTGGTCTTAACAGGCTAATATTTTCACAATGTCGGCAAGTTTCACCAAAAAAATGACAGGTCACTAACACAAAACAGTAATAAAGTGAATGGTTTAACCCCGGGATTATTTTAACATGTTATGTGGATGAAGATCATCCAGGTTAGTAAAGTCCTGAGGACGACTGTTGGTATTGATGTTGACTAACGTTTCGACAACCTTAGCGATACTCATCTTCAGAGTCAACTTAACTCTGACTGACGTCAGCTTTTTATAATAAGCATGACAGACGTAGCTATGATTTTTCAACACGGCCATCGCGAAAGTAATGGTAAGGGTGACTACTGTCGACGTTTCGTCTTCAACTTCAGCCGTTTTAAATTTAGAGCTAAGCTGCTAAGCCACGAGAAGGCTTTTGAGTTTTCCAATTTCTACAATTATACTTCATCATATAGCGAGGAGGAAACGTATGAAATTTTTGCAGACATTTTATCAGAGAATTTTTCACTCTTACTGAATTTTACGTTGTTGTTACATAATTTGTAGTACATTGCTATTTGCGATTAAATGTACTGAAACTAACCAATAACAGTTGAGTGTCATTTCTTGCTCCATGACGATATGTGCTACGTGCAACTGTTAAATTGTTAATTACTTATATTACTAACTCGTCGCCCGTGCTGACTCATCATCTCTGCTGATGGCCTATCACTTTACTCTTAGTTTTAGACTGCGCAAAAAATGCTCGCGCATTGATGATCTTGCTAAGTTACGGCGATTTTCAATAGCTCACTCGAAAGGGCGTCGTCGAGCTTTCAGATGAGCTAAATGTGATCGCCGTAGCTCAGTTTTAGATAGCACTGCGCATGCGAAACTACTTTCGCGCGTGCGCAGATCCTATCTCGCAAAATATTGAGTTACGGCGATTTTCAATAGCTCATTCGAAAGGGCTCGTCGACAGCTTTCACATGAGCTAAAGATCATCGCCGTAGTCCCAGTAGTTTAGAAATAGCACGGCACAAAATTTCCCTGCGCATGCGCAGATCCTGTTGTGCAAAATATTGAGTTACGACGAATGTTCGAGAGTCACTTATCAGTGTTAAAACAGGTAAGTTTTAATTGATTGGATTGTTCTTTTACTTTTGTTTATTCATTTTTGTTGTATTCGAAATAAATATTTTAATAAGTTTTGTTTCTTTCAATTTATAATGTATATAACAAATAAAACTATACTTGAAAGGTCAAATTATACCATGCATATTAAAGTTACATCAATTACTATATGTCTATCCTAAGAAGCGGCCTTTAGTGATTTTTAGCCTTCATAAAGTTAAGCATGTTCATAATCTTATTCCGAGATTATTTTTCACTCCTAGATGTTTCATGGTTTCATTCCAGATATTGTTGCTTGAACGAAATATCTTATTTCCAAACGTTTAATTCCAAATATTAATGACTCCATCTCTATCAGCGGTTGCGATGCACCATTCATTGCCATCGTCATGCAGAGCAATTGTCAAAACACCTTTCATGTGAGGAGTTGTTCTGTATGTGAAATAAAATACATTTCTGAGGTGGGGTCGACTTTTGCATTCTTTAATATTAATATTGATAAGTTTAGTAACTTTATTTTGCGATGTAAGAAAGGATCAAGTCGTCTTAACAACAGCATGCAGAAAATCCTACTCGATACTAAAATTATTTTTAAAAATAACTGCCTTTACTCACCAATACACTTTTCAGTATTTTTTCATGCTCTCTATATATAGGAGTGCATTTCTCAAATTCATCAAAAGTGAAGGAAAGTTAAAACGTAGGGTAATCAAAGCAATTCTTGGGTTGCAAGCTACGTCATAGTCGCCATGTTCGATGATTTTAACAAAGGATTTTCCTTATTTACAATGCAAATTTCATCCAACATGGCCAGCATTCGATTGTTCTCTTACTCTCAGGAGAATGGTTGCAACCCACCAATAAGCAAACAGTGACAGCATTTCAATAGAATAATACTAATGAATTTCATATTAGTAAGTCTATTGAACTTATTAACAATTCTTTATGCATATGTATTGTATAAAGCAGAAGTGTTCATGCTCTCTAGCATTGCTAAACAATAACTACCTTCACTTGAGAATTAAGAGATACATTGCACTTTGATAATTCGCCAATTGGTAATCTATGAGTACAATAATTAAAGTTTACGCCACGCAGTCGAATGCTTCATTTTGAGTTTCAATAATGACGAGGATGGGACAGAGAAGCACGCTGCTGTTTTCAATTACAAACGTGTAAGTAAAGTACTTTTACCGAGGCTTCGAAAGCGTTTTGTAGAAGAGGTTACTAAAGAATGCTGTAACTTAAAGAAAGTACCGAATATAAAGATAAATTTCAAGTATCGTGAAAGTGTACTGACATTAAAATGTTTAATACGAGGATAAGTGTGTATTGAGTATATATCACAGCTGTTGCTGCGCTTTGAGGTTTTTCTTTTACTTATTGTCTGTTTTTTAGTCTATAGTCTTCATATTTTTGAATAATGAGTGACTCTATACTGAACAGAGTCATTTATATATTCGCTGTGATTATCTAATATATTTGCTGCCATTGTTTGCATATTCTTTGGGTAACGCCAACTGTTTCCTTTGCTTAAAGACAAGGTGAGATTTATATAGGGCGTGCGAGTACTTAAAGATAATTGTATGAGCCCAAAATTCTGCTACTTAACTAGCTCCCTCGAATTCAACCATAGTCACCCCGAAATCCGATGTAATTTCCCTAAAATCCAGTTACAATATTAAGCCCTTAATAACCGAACTTGAGGTCTTTACGGAGAAATATCGGACTGATGTCTTCTTGTACAGACCGAGCCCGTAGGGCGAGGTTTGTAGAAAAAGACAAAGATCTGATATTTCTCAGTAAAGACTGAGTGAGGTTATTAAAAAGATTATTAGATGGCATTATTTCACCTGAAACAAAGCTTGCTTTCTTTCACGTCCTTGCTGTTTTTACGGGTTGGCTTTCACTTTTCTAGTTTTCGTCCATAAAAAATTAATCGTTTCAAATTGTATCGTCTGGATAGTTTAACTGGTTTCCAAGTGTTTTTCCTTCGAATCACATTCGTAAGTAGTTTTTGGTTTCGTTTATTTTGCGTTTTGCTCTGCATTACGAAGTTTCTTTACATTTGACAGTAAAATTACGCGTTTCGGACCATGGTCGATTACGGGAAAATAATGAACTGGCAAAAATGTTTCTGAGCCAAACAAAGCGCGCCATGTTTCCGGAAGTGACACTTGCCATATAATAATCAATTAAAGTCTTCTAAGTGCTTTTTTGCTTAACTCGTATTCTTACTGCACTGGAAATCCCCCCCTGCGCCTGGATCATCACGTTGCCGTCGTGCAGGGGCTTAAGTACTTCACTGAAGGAAAACTAAGAATGATCCAAACCCGGTCTCCGAACTTCGATGTCGAACTCTCGGAACCACACCTCCAAACTCATGAATAATCCAAATACAGAAAACCATACTGGCTCGGACGTCGCCCATGATAAAAAGGTCCGCTCATTGAGCCAAGCTGGCTCCCATCTCAATATTGGCCCAACAGTGAACTTACTCTCCTTAAATGTCGAAGGATTGTCTATGGCCAAATGTGAATACTTATCAAAACTTCTTCATGATAACAAAGTTGATATTTTCTTTCTACAAGAGACCCATATTGTAGAGAATAGTCCATCATCGAGATACACTATCACAAATTACTCGCTTGTTGACGCCATCTTCCATGAAAAATATGGCACAATGGTTTTTTCAAAACATTCCCAATTAACCTCAGTGATACAATCTGCTTTAACTGAAAATAATGTCCATGGTACTATTGTCCACTATGGCGGAACTACTCTAATTAACATCTATAAACCACCAAATGAGAACTGGCCATCAGCACCTCTAACACACATCAGTCACTCTACAGTTATCACAGGTGATTTCAACAGTCATCATTCAGACTGGGGTTACAGAATGAACAATACAGCTGGTGAAGACATCAGCACATGGACATCACAAAATAATATGCATCTATTGTTTGATCCGCGAGAAAAGGGCACTTTCTTCTCTGCAAGATGGCAAAGAGAATACTCTACTGACCTAACATTCGTATCCAAGGATAACAATGACATACCACTCTATTCCTCTCGTCAAGTCCTCGGTTCATTCCCTAAAAGCCAACACAGACCTCTTCTTATCACAATAGGTCTAAATATTCCCATCACACCATCTCTCCCTAAACCTAGATGGAATTTCCAAAAAGCAAACTGGAGTGATTTCACTAAGTCCATAGAGAGAACATGCCCAAGAATACAACCCATACAGGAAAACATCCCCCGCTTCACCAAACTCATTCTACGTAGTGCCAGAAAATTTATTCCAAGAGGCCAGCGATCTACTTACATCCCTTGCTGCACAGAAGAAAGTCAAACTCTTCTTAAAAGATATGAAGAAACACAGGACCAAAGCATAGCTGAGGAACTCCTAAAATCTCTACAAAAAGGACGTTGCAAGAAATGGCAGGAAACAGTAGAAAACACGGACTTCTGCCACTCAAGCAGAAGGGCATGGAACCTCTTGAAAAACTTGACCCTGATAAACGCCCGCAAACAACACAGGAGGCACCGATTAACGTTGAAGATATCGCAAAACAAATAAAACAGCGTAGCACCCATAAACCAATCCATAAATTCGAAAAAGAAATCAGACATGAATACCAACGCTTATAAAAATCAAGCCCGGATGACAGCTTTTCTTCAATGCCAGTTAGTAAGCAAGAAGTTGACACTGCAATTAAACAAATGAAAGCTGGCAAGGCAGCCGAATAGATGGTATCTATCCAGACATGATCAAACATTTAGTCCACAAGGCGATCAACTGGCTTGCATTATCTCTCTCGGATGTTATTGACGAATCAGAATACCCACAGACTTGGAGAGAAGCTAAAATACTTGCCATCCTCAAACCTGGAAAACCCTCAAACGATCCATCAAGTTATCGCCCAATTTCTCTGTTGTGTTGTTTTTTAAACTTCTAGAGAGAATACTACTGACCAGAATAGCACCCTAACTCGACCCCTATATCCCGATAGAACAAGCAGGCTTTCGACCAGGTAGAGATGCCACTGAACAAGTTCTGGCCTTAACGACATACATCGAAATGGGATATGAAAGAAAACAGAAAACTGGAGCTGTATTTATTGATCTATCTGCGGCTTACGACACGGTATGGCACAACGGTTTGATGTATAAGGTAGCCAAATGTATCCCTTGTAAGAAAACACTAAAGCTTTTGAATAAAATGTCTGGATCAAGAATTTATCATGTATGTTTGGGTGACAAAATAAGCAAAAAGAGAACTATAAAAAACGGTGTTCCCCAAGGTTCAGTTCTAGCACCAACTTTGTTCAACATCTATATCAGTGACTTACCACAGACCACCTCTCTCAAACTTGGCTACGCTGATGACTTCGTACTATCACACCAATCTAGCGATATTAAACAAATTCAAGAAACCCTCAGCCATGATACAACAAAACTACAAATCTTTTTCAACAAGTGGTACCTAAATATGAACACAACAAAAACTGTAAGCACCCTCTTCCACTTGGACAATCACAAGGCAAATCTACAACTTGCAATACGTGTAGGCAACTCCAAATTACCATATGACTCATCTCCAAAATACCTGGGTGTGACTTTAGATCGCTCGCTAACATACAAATAGCACATTGAAAACACTGCCACAAAACTGCGAAAACGAAATGGCATAATTAAAAAACTGGCAGGAACATCGTGGGGCGCCACTCCAACGGTACTTAGGACATCATCTCTTGCCCTATCATACAGTGTTGCAGAATATTGTGCTCCAGTTTGGTCTCGCTCTAAACACGTCAATAAGCTAGATGTATTGCTAAATGACACAATGCGAACAATTTCCGGAACATTAAAATCAACCCCAACCTCTTGGCTACCTGTAATGAGTGCTATAGCTCCACCTAACATACGCAGACAGGAAGCAACACAGAAACAACATCATCGCATTAAAAATACACTAATTGACACTCCACTAAAAACTATTATCCAGTCTGCCCCAACTACTTCGAGACTTAAATCACGAAAACCTTTTATAACTCCAAGATTGAATCGTTTGACCTCAACAATACATGGAAGGAACAATGGTACGAAAATAAACCAAGGGGTGCTGATCTAATTAAAGATCCCACAAATGTCCCTCTTCCTGGTTTCAAGAAGCTAACTCGTAAACAACGGAGCACTTGTAACCGAATAAGATCGAAACAGGGCAGAACAGCTAACAACCTATACCGATGGGGCTACAAAGACTCGCCAACTTGCCCATCATGTAACGCCACCAACCAGAATATGGACCATATCATCCTGCAATGTCCGTTCACACGCATTGAAGGCGGCTACGCAACAGTGCACAAAGCAGATGATAACTTCGCAAGCTGGCTTGATGAGACACACATGGAGGTTTTACCAGACGAAACTACTACTACTGGAAATCCCGATGTAATTTCTCTGAAATCCAGTTACAATACTCGTATATTATAATCAATTAAAGTCTTCTAAATGCTTTTTTGCTTAACTCGTATTCTTACTGCACTGGTTGATCAGTTCTTCAAAAACGTCAGTTTTGCGATCATGTCTTTTTCATTGAATGTCGGAACGACTGCCTCAAAACCTCAATAAATCCTTTCATTTTTACAAACCTTCGTTTAGGCACACAATTATCTGTCATCGTAGCCCAAAGTGTGATTTTGTTGTCTTCGGACAGCCCAATAATTACCATTCCGTCTGGTGTTATAGCTATGTTCTGTAAAATAAAGTTCACTAAATTTGTCATCTGTTTTTTCGCATATGAAACACGTAAACAAAAACTTTGAATTTTGCGTTTAGACTCCACCATTTTTCTCGGCATTAAATATCAACATTACAGAAGTAGTAATTTACGTGTTTATTGCAGGATATATACCTGAATCTCTCTACCATTGTCAGCTTCCAAGACCTTCTCTACCACATAAGATGTTGTGTTCCACACACTCACAAAGTTTCCTGGACCTGATAAACTCATCATATGAAATTCTAGAGGTGAGTAACACAGTTTCGTGACAGCCCCTACAGAGTCGTCTAGTATCATTGCACATGCGCCAGTCTCTGTCTGCCATATTCTAATTGTTGTGTCGTGGGAAGCGCTCACTAAATAATGACCGTCCGGAGAAAATTTTACATCGTTAACGGCATCGCAATGTCCTTTGGCTAGAAAGTGCTTTTCACTATTTTTTTTTTTCATTCCTAAAATATAATCTCCCGCAATATAAAAACTTCAGCTTACTATACAGTACACTATTCATTTAAGAAGCAACGAAAGATTTATTGATTACTATAACACATGCAAATAATGAATAATACGCGACATAATTAATAATTCTTAACTTGCTTGTGGTTATCAATTGTTGTGATTGGCAAATTATAGATACATTTCTAAGTCATTTATCACTAATCAATTCAGTCAAAATACTGTCTAGCTCTTCAGAATTGAGACAGTTAAACGACTTTTGTGACCTTCAATGCGAGACAGGTCAAGTGAGTTTGATTGACGTTTTATACAACGTTTTAAAAATGCAACAAAGTTAAATTTGTTTGATGAATCGGCGTCATTCTTGTGTGTCATTTATTAATTCGTTGAGGGCGAAAACGGTCCATTCCTTTGCTTTATTTTTGAATTGCAAAGAATTTAAAAATCGTCCGCCATATTAACATTTTGCACGTGTTATTCTTTGGTAATCAGTATAAAATTAGCAATGATTTAGCTACTGATCTATTTATTTAATGACCAACCATTTATATAAAATTTAAATCAACTTCAATGAAACTCAATATAACTATCTTTTAAACATATAATTAAATAATTTATGAAGGAAAATATGATATTTATAACTCAAAAGAGAAAGGAGAAGATAGTTATGATTCTTATGAAATAATTTTCTGTTGCGCAATAGCTAATATTTTTTAAGAAGGGCCAGTATTTTCCCATTGGTACCAGGGCCCTACTCTGGCTTCGTGACGCACGTCACTGATACGCTGGACATAAGACGGAATATCGGCTACGTTAATTGCGGTGCAAGTAACAAACGTTTTATCTACAAAAATAACGATTTTCTTGCCACTACCTTTGCAAATAAAAAGTTGTTTGTTCCCTATAACACTTAATTGATTTGGTCATTATTGCATTTGGTTCAGTTATTATCCAAGATTTTATCTATTTACTCTTTGTACTTAAAGTAGTCTATTCATGCTTGATTTAGTCCACAATCAAAGAAAAGAAAACGCGGTTATATAAACACATTCTCGTGCATGGAAGGTAACCAAAGTTTCAACTGGTTCTTTTGACTTTACTAAATTTACTTTTCTAATCTAATTGGACGTTCTTTGTTATAATAGTCAGCCTAATCCATAAACTTATCACTGAAAAGGAAAGCTCTTGAATTGATGATCTGCAAACTGACTTGATCATTCCTTTGGTCTTAATATTCTGGTTTACGAGGAAAAAAGGCTTTTAAAAACCTTCTTCAGTGGATGCCCACAAGATGAGCAAGATGAGCAAGATGAGCAAAAAGTTGCTAGAAGATGCAACAACAAAACTTGCCCATTTTACTGCTCGCAAAACACGTCAACTTTCATCACATTCACTAATAATCATGAATTCCAGTTTAATATCAATAAAGAAAATTTAATTTAATTAAAAATATCTAGTATAAATGTTGATTTGGCAGAAATTAATGCAAATGTTATACAGCTTTTAGAATATTATCCAATTATTAAAATATTACGATCACAGTTTCTGCTGAAAACAATTGTACGTCATTCATCTTGTCGCACAACACAATGTTCAGCCATTTCTTGTTTTCACCGCCGTCGGAAGCTCTAAGTAAGAATGGGGGGGGTCTGAAAATTCAAATATCTTAGAGTCTCGAAATATCCTTCCACTGAAAGTAACCGTACCATTAAATTAGCCACCTTTTTAAAATTGAAATAGCCCGGGCAGCTTATTATTTCGAGACTCTACGGTATGTGACTTTCTCCTAGAAGATTTGGGGAAAAGCTGGGGCTTGTTAAATTTTCACAACAATTTTGAAAATTACTGAAAGGGGGGTTGCAGCCTGCCCAAACCCCACAGCTTCCGATGGGCCTGGTTTCAGATGCTTTATTCATTCATGTCTTCGTTTTTAGCAGAAATGTGACACAAAAACTACTGATACTTAAACCATTTCTATCATAGTCTGCTGTCTTCTTACGCAGTCTTTACACTCTTCATTCTTTCCACAACTCTTTATCGAATACATTATTCCTTTCTTACGATGACACAGATTACAGTCCAGAATGAGTATTGAGATGAGGACAGTCGAGAGAATGAAGGCAACTAACATCAATTTAGGTGATGTGATGTAAACAAATAACCTTTTATTTAGCACCTGGGGTCGACTTTCTGTAGAGAAATTTTATGGAAATAAGATCATGAAGCAAATCGTAAAACAAGATTATTTTGCAATTTTTCTCAAAAGTTGTGCACATCAAATTACACACAGGACGCTTTTTGGTTAAATTTTTCAATCATAATTGAAAATTTTTTACCTGGATCACTGCGCCTGCTACGATAAATCTTTGTTCCAGAGATTGCAAGATTCATGTTCATTAATGACTTCGAGCCGGATTGAACCATCGTGGAATTTTCTTTCGACACTTTTCATTTTCTCATTTTCTTTGCAACCAGGCAAGCATTGAGTGAATGGGATAAAGAGATCATTTAAATCAACCTTTGTATATTCACTGTGCAGATTAAAACGAGGTTGTCGATGCTTGCAATAGTTATTACATGTTCTCACGTTTGGTGGATTGTATTTTACTTTTGTTGTAAATTCTGTTTCGTTAACTGTAAACACAAAAGGAAAGGCGTTTCAAATTTAGATCTCAGTTTAAATTTTAATTAAATACAGAAGTCCTTACTTTCGTTTGAAGATAGAGACTTGTGTAGACTAAAGTTCAAAGCTGTTAAGGTCTTTTTCCAGTAACAAGAAATGTGATTATATACAACATATTTATAAAATTTTGTGTAGTTTTTTAAATCAGGAACGACAATCTCGACTTCTGTCAATGTCATAGGTTGGGGCCAACATAATCGACATGTAGGAACATTATCTTTATCGATGACACATCGTTGAACTTTAACATAATATGGCTCCCTGTCCTTGGGAATGTCAGTGAAGTTTTCATTATAAATTGAGACAACTTCTTGCTCGAGGACTATAAATATAGAAAATGAATATTAACGTTAACTTTTTTTCATCGTGATTGAAATAATTACTTGTTTTTGAACCTGGTTTATCGATAGTAGCCCTTTTCTTTGGTTTACTATGCACATTCTTGCTCATGAACACCACACATATTATGCATGTATATATAAAGTTGTTAAAGACACCTAAAGAAGACAAAGATTGTTTTTCAGAAAATTCATTATTTAATGCTCATTATTACACACGTGAACTGCTCATTTTATGAAGCATTTATTTTATCGTGAAAAAGTACAAGGGGTGTTGGGTTATGGTGTATTGTGTTTCAGTAAATCACTCAATTATATTATTAACAAAATAAATTCATTAATCGTAGAATTATGTCATCAAAATAATTTGTCAACACTAATGAAAGTATCTTTAACTGTCCTATTTATAAGAAATTCATTAAATAAGTTTTTTGAAGACTAAATTTACGCATTTCCTCCATCATTAATAAACATGCATTGCTCACCCATTTCTTCTGTTTTTACAAGCGGATTTCTCAAAGATATCTTGTACAATGTCAGGTGTATTGTCTCTCTTATAATTCACAACTTAGCTTCGCTTTTTTAAATGATGAGTTCTGAAAAGTCTTTTTATACTCTCTAATTTCAATAGCATGGTTTTATAAACCTCAAAAATTTAAGATTTTAACCACAATTGAGTTTGAAATTAGTCTTCAAAGACATCCTATATTTTGATAAGTACTATGAATATATTTGAACGGAATGTCATTCATATGTAATCATTATGTAGGTACTCTCATTAAATTGTTTATTTACTATACAATCAATGTTTATTCATCCCTGAACCATTGAAGATGACTCATCAAATCTATGTAATCAACCAGTTTTATATTGAAGTATTTTATGTCGTTATTAACTTATAAACTGGCACTTGAAATGTTAAGATTTCTTACTCTTAAACCATTGTTTGCTTCACTTAATTAAGTTACTGTAAAATTCAAATCATAAAGAAGAATCTGAAAGCGTGGGCCCATAGCATAATTATTTTCTCATTATTCTCTCATATTCTGCACTATGGTCAGGCTGGCCTATCCTCTCAACTTGCTTAAAAAGTATATATTTACACTGTTAATCATGTCTCTCAATTAAACGATCCTACGTCGGCACATTATATTTTGACGTAAACATTACTGAATTATCAATTTATCATGTTTTGTGAGTAATATGTAATGGGAAGAATTTACAGGTAGAATGAATTGTCGAAATGCCAAGTTACATAGCTATTTAATTGAGATGTAATTGTTGATTTGCTGCTGGCAAATTCCGGGGTAAATTTTTCTTTTTGATTGTTTTTATATAGCCGGGCAACAAAGATATGTCAAATTGTTTACGTGACTATATTTTTAAAATAGGAAGAGCAAACACGCATTGTAGCGCTTGTTGTAGATTTTGATAATTTTTGTTTGTCATGGATTATGGTGTGCTACGGTGGCTATATATCCAGTTAACTATTTGCATGTTACAAAATTTTAAAGCTACATTTATATCATTTTTTTTCATTACTACAGCTAAATACGATTGGATATGTATTTATTTTTTGACAATAGTGCATTCTTTGTTCAAAAGATGAACTCCATGACTTGTTTGAGAACATAAAATTATTTGATAGCTATATAGAATTGCAAATTAGTTAGTTACTATAAAAAAAACAACTCGTTTGTTTTTGGAAATAAGTAATAAGTAATTCAGGCAGCTCATTGCTCTCAAATTATTGCAAAGTCAGCTTTGACGCACTTTAATTCCAATGATGTTGTAGGGAAATCACATTTCAGAAATCTATTACTGTGTATATAGCCTGTACGGAAAGAGTTTAAAGTGACTGCACAATATTGCAAAGTCAGATTTGAATTGAGGCAATTGCATGAGTTCCAATGACGTTTTAGGGAAATTACATTTTTTTTATAAAACAAAGACTTTATTGTGGTCACGAACTTTAATTTTGCTGTGATTAACATATTTGTCATGGTGAACGACAATTTAAGTAGTTCTTAAGAACTGTAGAAAACTGAAATGAAGATAGTTATGAAATTATGGTGAAGTCTGCCGAAATGCATCGTGTCATTTTAATTTTATGTAATATCCTCATTTTGGTGTTCAACAGTTCTTTGAAGAACTACTCAATTGTCAATCACCACGACAAATACGCTAGTCACAGCAATAATTAAAATATTTTCTTAAATTGAAGACAAAAGACAGCAAAGCAAAGCATTTGAGCTCTTGCAAACGACAAAGTGACAATCTGTTAACTGTTAAGCGGTAGCCTAGCCATCTCAAGAGTTGCATGGTCATGCTCTGTAAGTTTTTTAACACGATATCATTGTTGGTTTCCTAATGGATATTGTTTTTACAGTAAGCAAACACCAAAATACGTACATAGCTGTGAAGGACTTACTGCGGTTAACCTGTTATAAACGCGACCCAAAAGTTAACGTCAGTAAGTCAATGTCGTTAATTCTTTCATGCTATCTTTGGGTCTTGCTCTGTCAGTTGTTCAGTGTTGATTTATTTACAACTTATTCAATATATACAATCAAATACTACATATTAGCATCGTTTTGTAATATGATAATTAGTTATTATATTATCGATGTACGCCGGTGGCCATTATTACACAAATAATATTCCGGTTATACATCTTCATATTTTTCCATTGTTAAAGCGATTGTTTCTGTTTGTATGCAGCGGTTAAAATATTAACTTCTTGCACAACTCTTTTCGTAGTTTAAGGGATTTTTGAGACCGAAAGCAAACTGAGACTGCAGGATATTTTTACTCATATATAAATCGTGTATAATATTAAACAATCACTGTCGGGCACCGTAAGATATTATTTACCACTATGTGGTTAAGCTTGTGCATACGACCTGGTTTTCATGTCTGTTCATAAGCATTTGATATTCATTTTGTCGTTTGCCGAAGAATAGACTGAGTAGTCTCCTTTTAACCGCTTGCTGTCAAAAGTCTCCTTTTGACCGCTTGCTGTCAAAAGAAGTTTTGTATTTTACTAAAATAAAGTTTTCTATGTAACTAATCAGATCTACACATAAATACTCGATGGGTTTTCCCTTTTTAATGTTTCGATATCATTGCTTATTTTAGTTATTTATTGCAGTATGTCTTTGATATGCATTGACCTGTACATTACAGACAATGAAAATAATATATTCGCCCACAACTGCTGTCATGCTGGTTTATTATAAGGACACATATTGGTTGCTTTGTGTTTCGTGAGCGACTATGGTATTCCCATTCAGTAATTCAAACCATATTAGGAGCTAAATTTGTCTCAGGCATTATAGAAATGCTTTGAAATGATAGTTTAGCTTTACTCGTAAAATATTTTAAATTTAGAATGTTTTCGTCCAAGATTTCGTGTGAACGATCGGCACCAACTTTACCATAAAGCCTAGTTCACATATAGTTGTAATTGTTGTAATTCGATTGGTGATGAACGTTTGCAGCAATTACAACTATAAGTAAACGCGCGTTGTCATT